AAAAAAACCCCCCAAAACAAAACAAAAAAACAAACGAAAAAGAAAAAAAAACAAAGAGGCTGACAGTGTGCTTGAAATTAATAATACTGGTTTTACTTTGAGACCTTGAATATCTGTTTACCTCTTTGTCTCTTGTTTTTCAGGCTGGACGCAAAGAAAGAAGTGATGCACTGAACTCTGCGATTGATAAAATGACCAAAAAGACCAGGGACTTGCGTAGACAGGTAATTAATATATAAAGTTGGCGCTTGTCAAGACAAATGAGTGCGTTTCTGCATGTTTGCCCTCTTGGAAATATATTATCTGTTGATTTGTTTCTAGTGGGCAGCAGACTTGCCTGCTTGTATTTAGCGAACTAAAAGCTAGAAGCTTCCAGTGCCTGGTTTACAGTGAAGCATGGGGTGGAAATGTAATCCCCTGTTAACTGTGAAGTAAAGATGTTGGGTTCTTAATCATCCTTGTGGTAGAGAGATTTAAAACAAAACAAAACAAAAAACCCAACAAAACCCCAAACCTCCCCATTTTATGGATTTTGAACATAATCACGTATGTTTTATAATTCTGATGGTATTTGTCACAGAGAGCCTATTTTCTTTGAGGAGTGTATTTATGTAACATCAATCTTTTGTCCATTTGGTTTTTAAAGCAATATATTCCTCTTTTCAAGTAAATGTGAATAGGGAACAATTTTGTTGAAAAATGTTTTTTTTTCTAGTAGAAAAATAGAAAAGTGAAATCAGCATGTTGTTTAATCTACCGAGGGAAAGCAGCAAATTTACTCAGACAAAACCAATATGAGCTGCTAAATCAATATTTGTGGCCAAACTGGTGACTTGCGCTTATATAAGTAATCTAGTTTTTTAAGGAGATTTAATTTAAATTGAAGCAAAAAGTGTATAGATAAGTCTTAGTGCAGGGAAAGCCTTGGTCACACAAAGGAAAAAGGATCAATGACAGAAGTACTTAAGCTTTATGTATTAATACAATAAAAGGAAAACAGCAGTGGAACACTACTGAAAAATAACTAATTCTTTTATTTTTGTTTTAGCTCCGCAAAGCTGTTATGGACCATGTATCAGACTCGTTTCTGGAAACAAATGTTCCACTTTTAGTATTGATTGAAGCTGCCAAGAATGGGAATGAAAAAGAAGTTAAAGAATACGCCCAGGTTTTCCGTGAACATGCCAACAAGTTGATTGAGGTAAGATGGTAGAAATTAAAATTAAATGATCACTAGTTAAATTGAGGCAAGACTAGGCAACACACATTTTTCAGTTCTGTTGAAACAAATAGCAAATTCTGTAATAAGTTTGCTTTTTAAATTTTATTTTAATGACTTTAAGTACAATTTAATTTAATATTTAAATAATTTTAAATGTAAGCTTATTGAAAAGCAGCAGCTACTGTTACATAGCCCATGTAGTTTTAGTTATTATACAATGTGAATACATTATGCTGTTACCTTCACTTGATTTGTTAATTGAAGATGGTGATAGACAGTAAGGGAGACTGTGGCATGACTGTTCTGCTGTACAATTTGACCCACTGCTTGAAGGCTGGAGGTTTGTTTTTTCTAGTAAAATACCAGTGACTTTTATGTGAAGATTTTTAGAATTTAAAACATGGTTGCATATGTATAAGGAGCAGACAACAGACAAAGAACTCACAGTAACAACAAAGCTGGTCCCTGCCACCTTTTTCAAATAAAAACTCAAAGGCTCTCAAACTGCTGGTACTGAAGAGTAAAGCTTATCTGTGGGAAGACCAGCTTAAAAGCAACTGACCTGTCTTAACTAAAATGCATTAACAGTCATTAGTCTGCTGTTAAAGCTAATAGTTTTCCAACAGGTAGTGTGTTTCCAAAGAGCACCAGAAGTTCATACCCTGTGTTAATGGATACATCTCGGCAACCTTGTCCTCTTGCCGTTGGTTTTGCGACAGAGTTTTGTGCCCACTGATGCTAAATGGCAAGGAACAAACATCTGTAGGTATTGTTGAAGAAACATGCCACTAGGAATAAACTTCAAAACCTCCTCCTGTGCACTTCGGTCTGATTTGAGGCATCAGCTGGCTCGTGTGCTTGACCTCGGTAGCTACGTGGGAACAGTCAGATACTGGTTAATGTATTTTTGCTCTCTTAGTATCACTGTGTCTGATAATTGAGTCCATGTGTCTCCTAGGCTCCTCAAGAATACTTTCAACACAACTTGACAGATTTAAATTACTCAAGAATAAGACTTTTATTGAATATCAGTAAAAGCAGTTTCTGACTCTTGCTCAGTTTATTTTCTCACTTTTTTTTAAAGCCTTAGGGGCTCCGAGCATGGTGCGCAACTGCCCCGTAGTCTGGGGTACATCAGGCTAGTCCAGCTCTTCAGAGTTTCTGTCCAAGCATGAAAATATTTTAAATCGTTGAAGGTATCCGTTCTTCATTCTTGTTCTGCCATGTTGCAGTGTAAATGCCATGTTTGTATAGTTTCAAAGTTACTTTATTCTAAAGTTTAAGTAACTAACACTGACAAAACAGCAGGTAGATGACAATGTTGCCCTGCCCTGGCAGCAGGGTATGACCATTCCACGTGCAGTAGTGGGAACACTTTGAAGCAGGTTTTCATAGAATTGTTGAATGTTGTGAGTTGGAAGGGACCCACAAGGATCAGAGAGTCCAACTCCTGTCCCTGCACAGGACAAGCCCAAGATTCAGACCATGTGTCTGAGGGTCTTGGCCAAATGCTTCTGGAATCTTGTCAGGGTTGGTGCCATGAGCACCTCCCTGGGGAGCCTGTCCCAGTGCTCCACCACCCTCTGCCTCAAGAACCTTTTCCTCATGGCCAACCTCACCCTCCCCTGGCACATCTTCCTGCCATTTCCTCTGCTCCTGGCGTTGGTGGCCAGAGAGAAGAGATCGGCACCTGCCCCTCCTCTTCCCCTTGGGAGGAAGTTCTAGACCATGATGAGACCTCCTCTCAGTCTCCTCTTCTCCAGGCTGAACAAACCAAGCATGTTCAGCCTCTCCTCACATGACTTCCCCTCTAAGCTCTTTGCCAATTTTGTGGCCTCCTCTGGACGCTCTCTGGTAGCTTTATATCCTTTTTATACTGTTTTGTCTATAGCCTAATTTATCTAAAAAATTATTTTTAGGGCTTGTTTATAGGAGAAGTTTACTGTCATAACAACAGCAGTGCCTATTCTGCCATAGTTCTACCACCTTTTCAGTGGACGCATGGTGTCTACACACAGAGTTTATTGGCATAATTATAAAGGAGTAACTGCACTGCTCCATCCACGAGTTTCCCTCCTGCCCTTGCTAGGTGAGCCCTTACTCTCTGTGCCTCCAGAATACATGTGCCATCTGAAAAACACCGGGTGGCTGTCCTCACTGGCATGTAAGAGTGGTTTTTACTGACCTTTACCGTGTGTGCAAGATGCCAAGCTGCAAATGAGTATTATAGAACCTCTATTCAGCCGAACAGTCTGTCTTTAAAGAAAGACTATTCACCTGAAAGTACGCATTAAGCAATATTTCTGACTGGCATCAAAAGGTTCTGCTAAAATGATGTGCTGCTGCAACAACTTTTTGAAGGCTTGCTTATTGCTTTTGCTGTCTAAAATGTAACTATAGCTATAGAGTAGTATGATCTAGATGGCTTATAAACCTTTCCCATGAATGTCGATGGATTAATATATACACTTAGGTTCGACATAAGGGGAATAGTGCTCCTGCAGAGCCCTTGTCTCGAGGGGATAGAGAGCCACTGCGGAGTTGTATGCAATGTCAAATTTACCGTGAAGGAAGATGGGTTGGGATGGGTTGTGCTTGCAATGTCTCAGTGTGTCTCTGCCAGAATGGAGAAGGATGTTTGCAAGTTCCCGTATGATTCTGCTCTCGGGCAGAAAACTCGACTGCAGGTATTTGGAGAAACAATAAAAGATTGTGTAAGAGCAGAATAGAAGATGTTCTACTTGGTGAGATGAGAAGTGATTGCTTCCACCTGTTTTCAGTGGAGGATAAGTGTGCTGGGGAGTTTATCGTAACTACCCTCAGAAATGCTGCTGAGCGACTCAAGACATCAAATATGACAAAACAGGTGCAGCACAGAATGGAGCTGCGTTGTGTATCATGCCGTGGTTGACAGGCTCCTGTGTTTTAGATGTAGAAGAGAACGTGTCCTTTCCTTTAATGCTGAGGATGGGAAGAAATGCACATAAGAGACCTGCTCTGCACTAGGTAACTCGACAGATCCCCATCTGAATTAGTGAGAAGCTTTACACCTTGGATTTAGTAGCCCTTTGTGCTGTGACCTGGAGGAGTCAGTGCTGCTCTCCTGGTGAACCAGCTGCTAGAG